TCGCCATCATCCTAGCAGGAGAAGGTCTAATGGGTTGACATTTATGATATATTTGTGTAGACGGTTGTTGCTGGGTCGTTTTCAATTAGTTGGCCAAAAGAGGTTTACGAACTTCTTAAAACGGGAATACCACGGGTTATTGAATCCATTTAAAGAGCACACATTTTCCGAAAATCTTAAAACAATATTTGGCTTCATTGCTAAAACGCCAATCATATTTAAAAACAAGAAAGAACGCTATAGTCGGGTTGGTGTCCCGACTATCTAATACCCGTCACTCAGCTAAAGGGAGTGCAAGGGAGCTGGATATATAACATTTTTTTGATTGCGCGTAACTTTTTAATGAATGGTCCGATTTGAAAATCTATAAGTATAGGTAAATATACATATAATGGTCCGATCTACATTTCGATAGATATAAATATACACAACAAAATTGCATTTATACTTCTCGGAAATCTTAAAAGGTGTGGGCGCAAGACGCATTTTAAAATCCCAAGCGTGTGATTGTGGGCGTTTAAGGGGGCGTGGCGCTCGTCTGAAATAAATTTGCGCTGCGGAGGAAGCCCAAGAGTATGTGTGGGAAATCTCAACCTTCTAGCTTTTGTAGTTTCCGAGATCTCAGCGTTCATACAGACAGACAGAAGGACAGACGGACATGGCTAGATCGACTCGGCTAATGACCCTGATCAAGAATACATATATACTTTATGGGGTCGGAAACGCTTCCTTCTCCCTGTTACATACTTTTGCACGAATACAATATACACCTTTACTATACGAGTAACGGGTATAAAAAACATACATATACATCTATGTCAATGAGCATGAATCAAAGCCAATAAAGATCCACGGTGAGTAAAGAATATTATCAGATAAAATATATCACGGCTTCCTTTAATGCGGGCGGCATGGCAACCCCAAAGACCAAAATCGAATCAACGGCCGACAGAGAGCCAGAGATGGGGAGTTCAGACATTGAAGAAGGACATTAAAAACACCGTGGGCTGGACATCGACCAAGGCTCTTCTTGTCGCTTCCGTGGACTCTTGTCAATAATTCAACTTATCACCGGCGGATATTAGAATGAAAAACCCAAAGGACAACACATCCGGGCACCCTCGAAGGTGCGGCAATAAAAACACATTCGAATGATGCAGTTTTAAATATTTAGCTGCTGTGGCCTTATTGAAAGGTGTTCGCGCTTATCAAAAGAGGGGAAGAACATTTTGTAAGACGAAGTAGTCAAATACTTCAACTCTAAACTTTGTGTGTCACTTCTTTGAGTTTGTATTTTGCATCCTGAAGGTCTATCCACCCTCCTATTCTTTTAGAAAATGGAAATCCTTAGAAAAGCAAACCAAAAACTCACCACCCAGTCAAATAGTAAACCGAATATTTACCTTCGTTTACTTCGATTTGGTTTAAAGTTTTTCTTTTCGTTCTGTTGTTGTATGCGGTGAGGCATCCTTTAAAGTGCCGAGGTGCTTGTAAATATTTTCTTTAAACAAACTTGACACTTTGGTGGAGCTCGGGTACAGTTTTTAGCGTGGGAACCAAAGCATAAACTTAATAAATAAATAAAGCAACCTGTAAACAAGAGAGAACGCTAAAGTCGGGTTGGTGTCCCGACTATCTAATACCCGTCACTCAGCTTAAGGGTGTGCGAGGGAGATAGAGATTTGAAAAATGTCTTCTACATTTTGATAGGTATAAATCAGCGGTCGGTAGCGTCCTATTAAGTAAGCATAGGGAATTGCTCTGCTTATCCGCTCGGCTGAAATAAACTTGCGCTGCGTAGGAAGCCCAAGAAAATGTGTGGGAAATCTCAATATTCTAGCTTTTGTAGTTTCCGAGCAGGGATCGTAAATAAGAGTTAACCTATTCAAAAAAATTGACATATAACTCTTATTCTCCAATTTTTATTATAAAAATTGACAAATAACTCTTATTTGTTGATTTTTATAATAAAAATTGAAAATAAAGATTGAATTGAAATAACTCTTGAACTGTAAGGTGCATTGGTTTAAAATTTGTATATATATAATCTACGCTTTAATACCTTTCTGTTGATATGCCATATGTCACCAGAATATTTTTTATAATGTACCAAATGGGTAAAGCAAAATAACAGGCGACATATAATTACAAAACCGGGTTAAGTAAATTGCATTCCAATACACATATAATACGAGATTTATTTGTTTAATTTTAGAAACATTAATTTTTTGATTGATTCTGACGATAGATTGCACCTTAAATCCGACAGCATTAATTTCAGGGCCGAAAAAGAGCGTTCTACGGAGACCTGAGTAGCAGGAACGCAATGTACAACTTTCGCCAGTCGGTATAAGTTTGGATAGATGAATTTTTTTTCTTCCCAATACTCCATTAAGTCCGTTTTTAAATCAATTGGCTTTGGGAGGTAATTTTGTATTTCCCTAGACGCCAATTTAAGCTGATCATCATCGTTGTCGGATTCCTCATTGCTTTCTACTTCGATTGAATTTAAAAATTCGCTTAAAAGCCCGCTTGAAGATGTATTATGAGATGAAGTCGGTTTTGAATCATCATCTTCGATCAGTTTTTTACACTCCTGTTAAATAAACAGGTTATAGTAAATATATGAATTCTAATAATTAAACTTACCGGTTTATTTAAAGTAAGTATTTGTCGCATTAGTTTTATTAAATGTGCTCTGGCTAACTCTTGCTGATTTGGATCTTTAATTAAAATCCGACAAATTCGTGGATCCAAATAAATGGCAGAGAGCATCACGTCATTTGTTGTGAGAATATTCTCACGACTTTCCAAGCAGAGCGTTAGATCCTTACTATGAACGTTATTCATAGATTTTACGGCTAATTTCGTTTCAAGCCAAAGCTTGTAAAAGTCACCAAAATATAGCTGTTCGCTTTGTAATTTTTGAGTTGCTTTGAAAATTGGCTCTAGTACAGTTAGAAGCAGTTCTATGTCCGTCCATTGGGAGATCGATAACTTCATATTCTCTTTGAGGTGGTCCTCGGTAAACTTTTTATAAATGCATGCACTTTTTAGCATCGAATATGTAGAATTCCACCTAGTCGGAATGTCGACTACCGGCTGGGGAAGGGACGTGTTCGAAATTGCTAGCCTACAAATTTCAGAAATTTTAAGTTTTTTTTTTGAATGTTAATTCACTAGATTACCTGAAATTCGGTGTTCTCAAGGTCTTTATCATCTTCCTAGCTATTTTTATAATGTCCTGTCGACGTTCATTTTTTAAGAAGTCGTTAACTGCCAGTTGAATCGAGTGGGCTGCGCAGCGTATTGATGATATAGAGAAGACGTGAAAATCTTCCACAAGATCGTCATTTTCAAAATCATCCAACAGTGCAGAATCGTCATTTAAATATTCTATGGCCTTGATAATGTTCTTTCCGTTATCCGATGTCAGAGTATATACTTGCTGTTTGGACACAGAAAATTCTTCCAAAATTTGTTCGATCTCGAAGCTAAGGTTAAGTCCGGTCTGTTTCTGGTGCAGCTCAATTATGCCTAATGTCTTAATTTCAATAGAATTATTAGAATAATATTGAATATTAAGTCCTAGCACTCCTCTGGAGTGTCGCGATGCCATGTCGACCTTTACCGATATAATTTTATTTTTAAGGCTCTTCTGAAGATTTTTCTTTTCATAGTCATACTTATCTGATACTAATTTCATTATCGTCCGGGATGTAATTGGTGTCATATTTAAGCCAGAAAAAATTTGTTCCGTTAACTTTTTAAACGGAGCCGAGTCCAACAGCTTAAAAGGCACTTTTTCATCTGTTACGAGTTGCACACATGCTTCTGTTACCTCAAGCGAAGAGAGAGATACTGCAAATTTTGTTTTTTTCTCCTGGGGACCATTTTCGATTTGATCCTCCTTTTCCTCATATATCTTTTTATGAGTCTCTTTAAGATGCCTTCTTAAGTTGGTAAAATAAGATCCTTTTAAAGAATGATTGCAAATCTTACACAATGACTTGTTACTTTTCGCATTAAATGTAAAAAAGTCGCGCACAAAAAAATCTCGTTTACGCCCCATCGTGATACGTTACACATATGACAGGCTTTACACAGGTAGTATTGACGATTTGTTGCAAAAGTTATAATGCACGCTTCTACTATTTTATTTTACTCATTTGGTACATTATAAAAAATAGTTTGGGGACATATGGCATATCAACAGAAAGGTATTAAAGCGTAGATTGTATATGCAAAAATTGTAAACCAATGCACCTTACAGTTCAAGAGTAATTTCAATTCAATCTTTATTTTCAATTTTTATTATAAAAATCAACAAATAAGAGTTATTTGTCAATTTTTATAATAAAAATTGGAGAATAAGAGTTATATGTCAATTTTTTTGAATAGGTTAACTCTTATTTACGATCCCTGTTTCCGAGATCTCAGCGTTCATACGGACGGACAGACAGACAGACAGACGGACAAACGGACATGGCTAGATCGAATCGGCTAGTGATTCTGATCAAGAATATATATACTTTATGGGGTCGGAAACGCTTCCTTCTAGTTGTTACATACTTTTGCACGAATACATTATACCCTTTTACTCTACGAGTAACGGCTATAATAATGGAATCATGGAATGGAAGCAGTGCAAGCCGTCTTCTTGCTGCATATCATCATCACAATCGCATTTTTTTTGGCTGAGTAACGGGTTTCTGATAGTCGAGGTACTCGACTATAGCTTTCTCTCTTGTCTCAATATTTATTAATGCAAAATGCATTATCAATCGAAACATTAATTTAATTCTGTGTATAATTATTTTATTTAAAGTTTAATTAACTAGTGATCTCTTAGTTGTTATGATATATTCAATCAGTTTGATAATAATAACGAACAAAAGTGTGTCTTGAATTATTCGACAATTTCCTACGGTAGTATAAGCTTATACCTTGTCTGCTGCCTGAACTCAGAACTCCACTTTTGCATTAAATTTCTCATTTATATTATAATTACCATGTACAACCACTATAAAAACCAGGCTGTCGAAAGTCGAAGGCATCAGTTTTAAAGCGCTTTTGCTATGGTGCGACATTTGGTAAAAAGACTCCTAATAATTTTAGTTGAAGAGTACTGTGTTTAAATGCCCTGCTTGCAGATTCTCGTCCTTTCTCTTATACTGTTTTGTCGCAACTCACATGCTGTTATCAGTGAGTTGGCCCGACAGGGCGAGTCCGCAATCCAGGGTTTGGCAGACTTCAAGATGGCGCCTCTACGCTACTTAGATGTTCTCTTTGGAGCTAATCCGGGGGGACTTCGAGGACTTGACGGTGGTATTTATGGAACTGGAGGTGCTTTATCAGCTGCTGCTGCTGCCTTACAAGCAGCCAAAGCTGCTAATATATTGGCTGGAGGGGATATCTTCAGTCCCGGATATAGTAAAGTTACAGCTGGAGTCGGGCAGGGAAGCGATTTGATTACTATAATCAAAAACGCACGCCCCTACGATCCATATCTCATTCCGCCAGGCATTCCAGGATATAATTATCCACTGGGATTGTCTCGTCGTTTTCCCTTAAATCGGCCATTATTGGGACCTGGTGGACCAAGTCCTAGTCCTGGTCCGAACCAGCCGGGTGGATCATTCACAGATGGAATTTCACTTAGTAAACCATTCTCGGGCGGCCTACTATCATTATTACCTGGAGGATTATTGCGTGGAGGATTATTACCTGGAGGACTTTTACCAGGAGGATTATTACCCGGAGGATCATTTTCTGGAAGAGTTGGGTCTGTCGGCCAACAAGGTGGTTCGGTAGGTGGAGGCGGTTCGGTAGGTGGAGGTGGTTCGCTAAGTGGGGGCGGTTCGGTAAGTGGGGGCGGTGGAATCTTCGGAAACGGTGGACTGTTTGGTACGGGAATATTTGGTCAAAATGGACTTTTCGGAACTGGATTCCTTAGCGGACGTTCATTTGACCCATTTGGAATTTTCACCCCATTCGGAAACTTGTTCGGAGGACTTGGGAATTTATTCGGGTTCTCGTCATCAACTAGGCAAGAACCTCCTCGCGGCTTGGAAGGTTCCATCAAGGTGGATCTCGGCGGCACGTTGCCATCGCCAAAAGGTATGCTAGGAGGACTGCTGTCTCCTGTCCTAGGTGTGTTTGGCTAATACCGAGAGTCGACTTGTGCAATGAGAAACGGATCTGGCGGCTTGACGCTTAGTTTTATTATTTAGTGTTAAGATACGACAAGAGTCGGGGTAAAATTAACATTTGTCTTGGCCAAGCATTGTAATTGTAATACCCATTAATAAAGTAAGCAGCATTCCAATATTATACGCTTTTAACAGGCTCACGATTTTGTAAATCTTTGGGGTATGACTTTTGAAAAAAGGATAATGCTATATAAAATTTGTCGTCGCCTACGCTTTTAATAAATAATTTCCTTTAACCTTTGGCTATTTTTTACAATACCTTCTCTAAAAATTATCCCAAATTTAAAAGACGCATCGTTTTGTTCAGCTTATAACTCAATATATTGAATCCTTTATTTTTATTGACAATTTAAAAAATTTTAATATTTTAATCCGTTTTGTTTTGTTTAGCGGAGTAACGGGTATCTAATAGTCGATGTACTTGTCTATAGCGTTTACAATGGGTTTCATGAAATGTTTTAGCAAAAAATGGGCAAAAACAAAATAATGCTCAACTGGGGCATTTATCCCCCCGGTCGCCAATATCTCCAATTTTCTTAACTTTTTCCTTATACCGCTCTTTCTTCTAAACCAATTGAATTAAAGTCTTGGTATGCAGTCCATTTAGTGTTTGCGATGGGAGTTGGTGTATAACTCGTTAGGATCGAATCATCAGAGCAGGACATTTAGTACTTGCGATAGTAGTTGGTGTATAACTCGTAAAGTTCGGATCATCACATAAGGACAGATAGGAAGTAAGGCGTACCAGCTTAAGGATTTTCGTCCTTTCGTTTCCTAACACGAAACTTAACAAGAAAGGAAGTTAGCTTCGGCCAGCCGAAGTTTATATACCCTTGCAGGTATGTCTACTTAAAATGTTGTTTTTACCTTATCAAAAATCAAAACGCCTACTTTCTACAAAGTTAAAATGGTTTTTCTATTATTTTTTTGATTATTTCTATGGGAGCCATAAGATATAGTGGTCCGATCCAACTCGTTCCGACATATGTACTACCTGCAATAGAAAGAAGACTTTTGGGAAAGTTTCATCGCGATAGCTTATTATATAATACAGAGCAGCCCTCATATATCAACAATTTTTTTTTTATACTTATATCATAGGAAATGTATCACTCAAATCAAATATATGTATAAAATATTTTTTTAACAAAGTTTATTTTGTTCAAGCTTACAACTAATTTATTTCCTTACTAAGAAATTAGATGTTAAATTAGCGAGATTATTTCTATGGAAATAATAATGAACTACGAATCTTTCAAATTAACCTTTTATTTTACGATGCAGATTTGCATATTTACAATCTTCAAAGTTTTTAGATTTTTTTCTATATAAGCGAATTTTAGAAAATATGTGGTATCATTCGCGTTCCTAATACCAACAAAGACAAATTAGCCGGAAATAATATACAGAATGTCTCGCTTTTTGGTAAGGATTTTTTTCAATTAGTGCCAGTAAATTTAAACTAAATTTCTTGTCTTGCAGATTTTAGCTCTTATGCTGTCTCTGCTGACTGAGAGTGCTTTTGGTAATATTGAACAGCTAATGCGAAGCATTGCCAGTGCATTTCAACCTTCTAACGTGGGCATAGATACTAATGTCCCCAGATCTGGATTTGGTATAAGAACACCAAATAGCGAATTTTCTATTGGATATGACAATGTATTTGGTCGGTGAATTCTCCGGCTTGTGAGTCAAGCCTTCTGCACTTTCTTATGCGTTGTGATCAGGCTGTTTGTAATTGTAATTGTATTTCAGCAGGCTGAGAACCGGTGAAAAATAAATAGTGGCAGCTAATTAAGGCGAATTTAAGTATCAAATTTAATTGCGTACCTTTTAACGCAGGGCGAGAGTTAAATTTGACTCTTAAGATGAAAGATTCGCGTTTGTGGCCATTTTAATTTTTGGCCACGCAAACCAGCCAAACACGTCCTCTTTATTTCGTTTTTCTAAGGCTCCCATCCTTGAGTTATTCGTTTTCCCCCAGTCTTTTGACGCTATGCTCACCCACTTCGTTAGTTATGTAAATGACTTTGTTTAGTCTTCTCCCTTGGCTTCCTAAGTAATTCCTCCGACAGGCTGGCAACACCGTTATTACAAACACATATACACCAGCGGCTCACGCATGTTTTCGCTTTTCAAAGGCACAGATTTTAACCCTTTGGAAGCATTACCACCCCGAAAATTGGAAGCCTCCGCTTCCTTACTTATATAGTAGCTTATGTACATCCAGAAAAGGGGAAATTTCCCGCTCATCACGCATGAAAATCGCGCTTATGTACAATACTTCGTGTCTATGTATCAACTTTGCATTTGTGTTGGTTTTTGTGTGGTGGTTGTGTGCGTATCCTTTCGATTTTATTATGCGTATCTCCTTGAACACAAACGCTCTTGTGTTTCGCGTAACATTATTCTTACTGTTACTTAAACAGACACAAATTTTAAGATTTTTCTAACTAAACAAACTGACTAAAATTATGTTCGCCACTCTAAATCACCAAAACTAGTAAATTTTAAAAGGACATTTTAAATGTAATAAAAATATTTCTAAGGTCCGTATTAAAATCTACTGCTGACCATATGATACATCTTTGTGAAACACTTTATTGGCAATAATACAGGAAGATTTCATAGTCCAAAATACCAATTTTAATAATAAAAATATTAAAAAGAAATACTGTTGGTGATGGTGTTTTACATCACCCTTCAAGAACCCAAGTCCTCTAATTTCACTCCCACATTTGCTCTAAAAGAAATATAACAAGAAACGAAGCTACCTTCGGCCAGTCGAAGCTTATATACCCTTGCAGATAAAAGAATGCTCACTCGGTGCAGTTCCAGGGATTCCAGACTTAGCGTGCCTATTTAAATTTTGTTTTTAAGTTGTCAAAAATCAAACGCCTACTTCCTACAAAGTTACAATGAATTTTTTTATATTTGTTTGAATATTCCTATGGGAGCCTTAAGATATAGTGGTCCGATCCGGCTCGCTCCGACATATGTACTACCTGCAATAGAAAGAAGACTTTCGGGAAAGTTTCATCGCGATAGCTTTAAAACTGAGAGACTAGTTCGAATAGAAACGGACAGACGGACAGACGGACAGACAGACAGACGGACAGACGGACAGACGGACATGGCTAAATGGACTCGGCTATTGATGCTGATCAAGAATATATATACTTTATGTGGTCGGAAACGTCTCCTTCACTGCGTTGCAAACATCTGACAGAAATTATAATACCCTCTACAAGGGTATAAAAATGTAAAAGAAATTAAACCCCAAGGACAGCTTTTTTGTCCATGCAGACTTTTTGCATTTTTCTATATTTTGCTTTGATTAACATTCGTCTATAGGTGGAGGTAGCCACCGTTTTCGTCTGGGCCAAACGACCGAGAGTTTTAATTACTTTTGGGGGTAGTTTTTCAGCTTTCAATTTTTTTATTTTGTCGTGGAACGAAGAACAGTCTGGGATTTTCTTTAAGAAAATACATTTTCCTGCCCAGGCAGGCATACGTGTCTGAATAATGTGTATGCATACAGCGATTATTTGACATGTTTCCACACCCTTGGTATATTTCATCCGCACTGATTAAAACCCGCCTGGAATCGTGTTCTATTCAATTACCATCCTGTATCTATTTTTATTGCATAATCTGATCGAGGGAAGCCGAAGAAATAACATTCAATCCGGTTTACTGCCTGGGGTCATTTTGCCACGGATTTAACAACTTGACCGTGATATAAATATTTATCCCCCGTTGACCACATGAAACCGGAAATAACATAATTGACCTCAGGGAATGGACAAACACCGGGGAAGTATCGTGGAAAATCGCATCAACTGACCAATGCCCTAAGCGATTTGAGTCCGTACCTGTTGCGCTGGGTAACGGACAATCAACAGAGAACAAAGAGGGTCGTCCTGTCCAGCCAGCCCCCTTCCCACCCCCTTGTGTTGTTTTTCCTGTGGCTCAGTGTCCGTATCTGTTTATGCTGAATAGGTGAACAGGGGCTGGTCAGTAGGATGGTCAGTTTTAACGTTTCATGTGTGAGTGTCGCGTGTCCGATGTGTAAACAAATCAATTACAAGCGCTAAATGAATTTTATGAGCCCTCACTCACATTTGCATTTTAAATTAGGCTCACTCTCTTGGAGGGGTTTGATGGTCAGCTTATGGTTCACACCTTTAATGCACTGACCAGGGGTGATTTTATTGTTATTTAAATGGACTTTCTTTGTTCAGTAAAGTCATATTTAAACGATCTTTATCCAAATATCTGGTTGAAGCTAATTGAATCGCCAATAATGATAAGTCCCAATATTGAACTTAAGTACCTTAAGGTGGAATGTTACCGAGTCTGTTAATCCTGCAGCGCTTTTTATTTGCATAACATTTGAATGCATCAGCAGCAGGCCAGCCCATGTTTCCATGTGCCGTGAAAATACGCTTTTATTGCACACCACTTGACTGAAGCTCGACTGGCATTCAGAGCAGTCAAGTGCGAAATAATACTCTACCCCTCCTTTTGGCACGGGCTGTTGGCTGTCCTGTTGCTGCAGCTTCCATTGCGGATTGCATCCTTGCAGCCTATTTATTACAGTCAACTGCGAGTCAAACGAAGTGCAACAGTCAACGTGCTTGTGCATATGCATTTCAATGCTTGGAGAGTTCTGCCCCGTTCCAGTTCTTCGAGGTGTTGCACATGCGGTGCAGATGCAGCCTAAGGTTGCATTATCCTTTACAAATTGTCGGTTGTGTTGGTTTCCCCTTTTACTTTGTGTTTCAATGGGCGGCTGCAAGTGCCACTGGAGGGGAGAGATCACGACAGAAGGGAAGCACGTCATTTTGCAGTTTTCGCACTTGAGCTTTGGAAGGCAGCTTCGACGCATGTGGAATCCCTTGGCAGACAATGAACTCGGTTTAAACGAAGTTTTGTTAAAGTTACATTATAAAGTATTTAAGTATTCTATTTGCAAATAAATTAGTAAGTCTAAGCAACAGGATGATTAACCGACCATCTTTTCTGCTAAGCTGCGGACTACATTCTCATCGTAGTCCTCGATCTCATCATCTCCATCATCAATGTCCACATCGTTCGGCCTCACTGGATAGCCCTGCTCGGGGGGAACGATCTTAACTCCGTGATCACCAAACAAGAGGCAATCAAAGTTTCTGAAATCGAACACAAGATGTTTCATTAATGCTGTTTTGATTCCCACGGCCGTAGATCTTACCTTTCAAACAACTCAAAGCCCTGGAATTCTCCTGACATGTACATGCAGACATGCATGTTGCGACCGACAAACCAAATATCGTGAAACTGAATACAGGCCTTAGCAAAGTTAAATCGTGGCGGCCGGAAGCAGAAGGGAGGTGGATTCTGGCCGGATACCTTTTGGCGGAACCAAATATTGTTGTTAACGCGCATGCGCAACTCAAAGGAAAATTCATCAGGACGATACGCGACTTCTGTGCAACTGTTCATGCCAATTACCGAAAGGAAACCTAAACCGGTCAAGGGAATATCGTTTTAAAATGCATTTAGCACAGATGATTCAAGCTTACCAGCACAGCATTTGCAAAGTCCGGTATCACAACTACAGGGAATGCGGTTCACGAGGTTACCTAACGTTACGTTTGGCAAACTAAGTTGCCTGGACTCTTCCTCGTGGCTTAGTAGATTAAGTCGATAGTTTAGCAAGCCAAGCTGTAAAGCTGCGTCGTAAGCCAAGTCTTCGGATGGTGGTTGCATTGGCACTGGGAGAATCATAGGATTGATCAGCAGAATAAAAAACTTACGGTGGGGAAGGCACTACGCTTTCAACCTTCCATTGACACAATTTTGTTAATTCTTAGGTGCTTAAACAAAAAGTTACGTTCTTTCACCAAATACTTCCTTCTTGAATCGAGATTAGTAGCTCAAGTCTTTCGATGCATTTAAAAACGAACGGAAAAGTAACAGAAATATAAACAAACAAATTTTGCCCAATCATCCACAACGAACTTCCGCGTAGTATGTTAATTAGTTCCGCATCGAACCAACTGACGTAGCCGGCAAGCCAAGAGTCACAGCGATCGCCTAACAGTTTCAACTATTAACCTTGAGTGCACAAACGAGTTGCCTGAGCCGAGATGCGAGCAAATTTTGATGTCAATGAAACCAACGGAGCACCTCAAACGAGTTGGGCATATTGAGCATTAGGTGGTCAAGATCATGGACAGCAGATCGTCGGCATAGAGAAACCGAAATAAGTGGTATCAGTTAAAAAGTCCCTCTGCAGATGAGTTGCAATTATTATTATGGTGTTACAACAACCATTTCTCGAGCTTACAAGTTCTCAAGCGAGCAATTTAAACTATTGTCTTATCAAATAATATAGCATACATGAAAATTATCTGTATGGCGTTTAAAGGGCCCTGCAATTAAGTCAATTCGATTTACATCAGGATGGCATTGAATTAGAAGCACGTCCCATTTAGCAACAAACATCAGTTTCACAATGCTTAATTAACTCAAGCTGTTTACTGACCTAGGTGTTATTATGTACTCAAGGCAAATCATTTTTCATTTTAAGTCAATTTTTCATGTTATGTAAGTTACATATCCAGCACAATTTTCTTAGAATATTTGTTCATACCCGGAAATGATTTTAATATAAATACCATGCCGAATTGTTAATAAATACAGTATAAACATAAGTAAAATACCATCACAAATACATATTTAAAGTAATGCTTTTTATTGTACACTTAAAAAGTAGCACAGTGACTTATAATTATTATCACAAATTTCTTTAGTGCA